ATATTTGTACCTCCTGAACAGGAGTGGGAGGGGTGTTTTGATCATTCTACTTCAATGTAAGCCCCAAGTAAGCTTGGTTTGGCTCACAGCTGCTTCCCTGTTCTAGGTGGACAAGGGCTTGATGCTCAGTAAAGAGCTGGTAAATGGCTTCAAACTCTAAGCACATTTCTACCCGATAGGTAAATTGCCAAACAAGGCAAACACTTTCCCCTTCTTATCCTCTTCTCCTATCTTCAACCAGAGCAGTGTAGCAACCTGAGGAGGTGGGCAGGCTTTGAAGTCGAGCAGTCTGGGTTTGAATTCTGACTCTTCCTTACTAGGTGGATGGCCTGAAGTGAGCGTTGAACATCTATGTGTTCCATTAACTCACATGGAAAATGAGGATAGGAATTTTTCCAATAGGATTTGCAGTTCATTTGAAGTAAACATCAAATGCTTAGCATGGTGCCTGGCATAGCAATTACTGCTATATTGTTATAACCCTATCAATCTCAACTCTCGGTGGCTCCGCTGTAGCTATAGCATAGAGTCTACTAAACTCAAATCCCAAATGGATGATGTGGCTTACCTGTAACCTAATCAATCTAAAGGCTGAGTCAGGAGGACATTGGGTTCAAGGCCAGCTGGGGCCACTTAGCAAGTCCCTGTTTCAAATAAATGAATAAATAAAGCTTCTGTCTCCTCAGTTTGGGCCCAGTGGCCCTCTCTTTCTGGCCTCCTCTTGCTATGCTCTCATGCTAACTCCCTTCACCAGCTGCTCTGTACCCGGGCTCTTCTGCAAAGCGCTGCATCTCCGCTAACTCGTTTGCCTTCTCTAGGATTCCTGCAAGCTAGAACTTCTTGCCCAGATTTGCCTAATGATGAGACCAAGGCTCAGCAAGGAGAAAACACTTTCCCCGGGACACACAGGAAAGCTGGGTTACATCCATGTTCTTTTTCATCTTCCTCTGAAACCCTAACTGCAAAAGGCTCCACCGGTCAGGCAGCATGGGAGTTAGAAGTGCAGATCCAAGACCTATCTAATCTCAACTTGTATTCCAACCAGATGATCCTTGCCTCTGTGATCGTTGGACATGCTAAAGTCTTTGAGCATCACTGTAAATCACTTTCTGTCAGTCAAAGAATGACCTTGTTTAACCCCCAGGTCAAGAAAGGTCAGCACCATTACTCTGTTCCATGCAGGGCAGGCCTCTCTTCAATGCTGCAGCTCTCCTTAACAATTACAGCCTCTCTTCCAACACGTCCCTTGGTTGTAGCATGAAATTTCCTACTGCACTCTTTTCCCTCCAAACCGTACCTTTTTTATTTCTTTCCATCCTTTGCTTTTTGTCATTACAGACTTATATGAATGTTATTAGTAACAACCATTCCACAGACTCAACATTATGTTGTCATAAAATGTCTTCCATCCCCGGCCGGAGAGATGGCTCAGTGGTTAAGAGCACTGATTGTTCTTCCAGAGAACAGAGGACAGGCACTTGGCAGTTCACAACTATCTGTAACTCCAGTCGCAGGGGTCCAGTACCCTCTCCTGACCTCCATAGGCATGTGTGCCCATGGTACACAGAAATACAAGCAGGCAAAACACCCGTAGCCACAAAGTAATAAAATAATTTTACAAATATTTTTAAGAAATTTCCCATGACAAATAAATTAGCCGTTACTTTAAAGTTTAGGTTCAGACAAGTTCTTATGACGGGGCAGATGGTACTCAGATTCTCTGCCGAAGTATTACAGAAATGGGCTATAGCTTGTTGCTAATGTTACCATCTGAAATCTCTTGGGCTGGGCCTCTATCATCCGTATACCTCTCAGCCCTCTTGTCTTCCAGGCTCTTACTAGAACAGACCATTGAACTCTGCTTACAGCATTCAACTGCTTTTCTAGTCCAAAGTTGCCAAGTCTTCCACATTCCTCCAAAAATCAGCATGGCCAGGCTCTTTGCAGCCACAGCCTACTCTCCGTATTACATTACTTTCCTGTCTGTTTGACAAAAATGCCATAACACAGACAATTTACAGAAAAAAAAAGAGTTTATTTTCTGTTTCAGGTATTCAGTTAAAGGTCCCGAGGGACGAGAATCCACTGTGGCAGGGATATGGGGCAGCAACGAGCAGGTCTGGCAGCCTGAGCAGGAAGCTGAGCGGTCACATCTCAGCCACCACCACAGAGCAAAGAGAGCAAACTGGAGGTAGGGAGAGGCTCTGAGTTCTCAAAGTCCACCCCCAGGAATATACTTCCTCCAGCAAGGCTCTATGTGTGCTTAGACTGAGATGTCCCCCAGAGCCTTGGGCATTTGAAGACTTTGTCCTCAGTTAATAGGGAGGCTTAGGAGGTGTGGCCTTGCTGGAGGAAATATGCCACTGGGGCAAGCTTTGAGAGTTTAAAGACGCCACCATTTCTAGCTTGCTTTCTGTTTCGCATTTCCAGTTAAAGATATGAGCCCTCAGCAGCTTCCCGCTGCTGCTGCCACGCCTTTGCTCTGCCATCACGGACACTAACCTCTGGAACCACAAGTTTCAAGTAAACTCTTCTGTAAGTTGTCTTGGACATGGTGTCCTTTGTCAGAGCAATAGGAAAGTAACAATATATCATACCTCCTAAAGGTTCCATAGCTTCCCCAAACAGTGCCACCAACTGAGGACCAAGCATTTGAATATTTATATATAGGGGGCATTTCTCATTCAAACAATCACAGAAGTCCAAGATTTACCTTCAATTCATAGCAATCTTCCTGCCTCGGCCTCCCAAGTGCTGAGAATACAGACATGAGCCACCATGCCCAGATCTCTGGTTCATTCTCTTAGGAAATATACACTGAACTTGGCATGGTGGCATATGCCTAGAATCCTAGCATCTGGGAGGGAGAGGCAGGAGGATCGGGAATTTAAAGCATGTCTCTTCTACCCACTATGAATTGAGGCCCTGTGCTCTCTGAGGCTCTGTCTCAAGAAAGAAAAAAATGAAATAAAATGCTGAGTGTAAATTGTGCCAGGTGCACAGTAAGCACTGAGTAAATGTTTATTGAATCAGGTTTTTCTTCGAGCACGTGACTGCTTTTTGTAGGGTTGGTGGTTTGCTTTTTGAAACAGGGTCTTATTACGTTGCCCAGGCTGACTTCTACTCACCACCCTCCTGCCTCGACTTCTCCGGTGCTGGGATGGCAGGTGTATGGCACCACACCTGGCTTGACTGCGTTTATTAAAGCACATTTGGTACGCTCAGGGTAGTTGTATTATCCTTGACTGTCCGTCCCTTCCTTCCACTGCCTCAAGCTCCTCTGTATTCTCTAAGCATAGGGTCTGGCATCTCACCGGGCCTCCAAAGCAAAGCAAATGCTGTCCCAGCTAAAAGTAGACTATGCCTATAGTACTTTTAGAGTGGGGTGTTACCGGAAGTAAAGCCTTCTAATTGTCAAGAGTGGAGAGGAAGAAGTGAGGTGACAGCCACCTTTGCTGCTCACCATCCCCGATCTTAGACCATTGTCACATCTCTGCAATCTATTTTTTAATTAAAAAATTATCTTACATGTATGGGTGTTTTGCCTGCATTTTTATGTCTGTGCACCACCTGCATTCCTGGTGCCCGCAGAGGCCAGAAGAGAATGTCAGATCCCCTGGGACCTGGAGTTATTGACAGTTGTGTGCCACTGTGTAGGTGCTGGACATTAAACCCAGGTCCTCTGGAAGAGCATCCAGTGCACTTAACCATCTCTCTAGCCCATGAAGACAATCTAGTCACTCCTTTTTCCCTCAGACCATCAGTGGAGCTGTGGGGTGTAGATCAATGAAAGTCCTTGCCTAGCTTGGCAAAGTACTGAGTTTTATCCCAAGTACAGAGGAGGGAGTGAGGGGAAGAGAGAAGACAGAGTCAGAGACAGAAAGACACAGAGACACAGACAGAGAGAGATGGAGGGAGAGCAAGGGAGTCCTTGACCCCCTCACACACACACCCCACGTTAAAACCAGGACCCCAACAACCCATGTCCTTTCACAGGAACAGAAAGAGCAAGGGAGGCCACATGTAGGAGAGGGACCTCCTAGACTGCAGAGAGCCTAGTCATTCCCCCAGCATAGCCTCCCTTTTCTCTGGAGATATAGAAAAGTCTTTATTTCTAGGCCTCAATTTCCTCGTTTGTGAAATGAGGGGGTTGGACTCATTTCTAAAGCTCCTTCCAGCTCCGAGATGCTGTGCTACAAAATCAGAGAAATGTGAACCTTTGGTTGCTATGATCTGAAAATATTTTGAGTGTGGAGAATCAAAATTGTACAGCAGCACACGAACAAAATAATATGTTAATGACTAAGAAGATTGTATTTAATCCAATGGGAAACAGCAGAGCCTCTGGTGGTGCTGTGCACGCGTGTGTCTGTGCTCAGCTTCCTTCCTTGAGCTCAAACATATATTTTGAATCGCTAATATAGTAATCAGGCCTCTGGCAGCCTATCAGGCCCAAACACACGCACACACCACTTCAAATTAAAATGAGGGGCAAATTCACTGCTGCCTGCTTACATCTTTTTTTGTTTGGGTGATTTTTTTAGAAGAAAAATTTTGTAGTGACGGTATTGAATTGACAGCCCCTGGAGGCCTCTGGTCTCTGAACTGGGACGCATGGGCGGAGGAATAGGGATTTCATTAGCATCTTTCCTTTCCCACACCAACTGCCCCCTACACAGTCGACACGGTCTCACCCAATAGCATCCACACCCGGACCCTGAAGGCTGGAGGGGTCAGATTACTAAACCCCCGCAGGCATCCGGGCCAGAACGTGTGCTCTGGGCCCTGCCTGCGGAAAGATGAGCTTGAACCGGCTGAGCTGAGTCCTGGAGGGTGCCGGCTGCGTAAAGGGTCAAGTCGCCGACCTTTCTCGCACCAAGGTGTTGTGGCTGGGAGGTGGGCGTGGCTCGCACGTGGCTCCGACTACGGCCGGGCTCCAAGTTCACTTCCACTCCGGGGCTCGTGTCCCAACCAGGCTAGGTAGGCCAGAGTCGCACGGCGTCGACGGGGTTGCCCCGAGGACCCCACAAGCGTTGTAGAGGCGGCGGGCGTTCTCTACCCGACGGCCGCGCCCGCACCGGGGCCCGCGCCGATTGGCCGGCTGGCGGTCGCTGGGCGGGTCGAGGCGGACCTCGCGGCCAGGTGAGGCGCCCCGCCCCTCGACCGCTCCAGGTGCAGCGGTGGGGACGGTAGGGTCCAAAGCCCGGTGTCCCCGGACAGGGCTGGGGCGCCATGGCCGAGTCCCAGCTGAGCTGCCTGGACGAGGCGCACGTGAACGAGAAGGTGACCGAGGCGCAGGCCGCCTTCTACTACTGCGAGCGGCGGCGGGCCGCGCTGGAGGCGCTGCTGGGTGGAGGCGAGCAGGCCTACCGCGAGCGGGTCAAGAAGGAGCGGCTGCGGGACTTCCTCTCCAGCAAGGAGCGCCAGGCCCTCCGCGCCGCCTGGAGCCCCTACGAGGAAGCCGCTGTCTCCAAGGCCGGTGGCAAGGCCAAGTCCAAGGCCCCGGCCGAGCCTAGCGAGTCCCTTGCCTATTGGCCAGACCGCTCGGACACCGAAGTGCCCCCGCTGGACCTGGGATGGACGGACTCCAGCTTCTACCGCGGCGTGAGCCGTGTCACGCTCTTCACCCACCCGCCCAAAGAGGAGAAGGCGCCGCACCTGAAACAGGTGGTCAGACAGATGATCCAGCAGGCCCAGAAGGTAGGCCTCGGCCCTAATCCTGCACCAGTGGGACACCCGCACCCCTCAACCCCACATGTACACCTGCTCTCGCTTCCTGGCCGCTCTCACTATCCTCCGGGAAATGGTCCCCAGCTCACCCTCACCTCGTGGAGCTGGGCTGAGACCTTTTGAAAAATGGATGTGAACGTTTGTGGCAAATCACAAAGCGCTGGACGGATGTTAGTCATTCTTCCTACTGTGTCTGGAGGCGCCGGCGTTGTGTTCATGCGCCTCTGTCCCAGCTTTCCCTCTTGGGCAGTGAGGAGGTTGTGAGGCCCTGTGTTAAACTGGTCTCTCAAAGGGCTTGATGATGACCTGTGCCCAGGGATTTATTTACAAGATTTATCTTTGGCCATTTCCCTATTTGATCTTCCCAGCCTCACGAAGTGGTTGGTTGGTGTTGATCTCCCTTACCCTCCAACGTCAGGTGAACTTTTCTTGGGAGCTCCTCTCCCCAAAACGACCGCGTTCTCACATTCTCACCCCTTCCTGGGCTTGGTACTAGAGCCCAAGCAGGCTCGAATGAATGAGGAAAGTTATTTTGAGCTCGCTGTGGCTTGGCCCGGTGCTGGGAGCTCCCACAAGGCAGGCACTGGACTCAGCCGCTCAGGAAGAGGCTCCTCTTTAGGCCATCTGCTCTGCCTGGGTGTTAAAAGATGTTTCCCAGGAGCCTGGTTAGCATCCCAGTTGGACAGCTGCCTGTGGGGTAGGTGAAAGATTAGTCTTTTCCTCTGTGCCCTTGGGTACTTGGGTAGTTTCCAGGTAAAATGTGGGCTATTGCATTAAAACTGAACTTCAGTTCTTTAGTATCAGTTTATCCCAAATACTGCATGGGGATACATTGATGCCGAACGTGGCTCTTTGTTTGCCTGGATTCAGATTTAATGGGACAGCCTATGCTTTTACTTGCCAAACACTGCGCGGTGATATTCTTTGATCACGGGTGTTTATTGTGTTGGGGTATCCGGCACATAGGGATGTCAAAGGATATCTTTGGGAAGTTGGTTCTCTCCGTCTGCCATGTGGGGTCTAGAAGTTGGATTCAGGTAGTCAGGCTTGGTGGCAAGACCTTTCACCACCTGAGCTGCCTAGTCAACCCTTCACGGGGATTTCTTAAGCCACATCAACAGTCCTTGCTGTCCAGAGGCTTGGGTTCACTGTTCGTATTCAACTTCACGAGTGTAATTAGAGCCATCTTTTTCCTGGAGGCCAAACAGGACAAAAGATGCTAGAAGGGCAGTGAGGGGCTCTTCTTCCTGGGAGTGACCTAGGCTTGGGCTAAGGTGGGTTGCTGTTGCCGGAGGAGAAGCTAGCTCTTCACTGCCCGGACTTCCACTTTCCTTCTAGAATAATTGTTCCTTGCCCGACTACACTGTGCTGAAGAAAAAGGCAAGGCTGGATACAAAGGAAAAAAAAGAAAAGCAAAAGGAAGTGGGTGGCAGTGCTGGGCAGCAGGTTTTGCTGGGGTCAAAGGTCAGGACTCATGATGTATTATTACAGCTGGAGGGAGTTGTAATATTCACCAAACTTATTTACTTAGTGTTTGTGACACGTTACCCATTGTGTTAGTGACTTTCTCATTTGCTTAAGAAATATCTATTTATTATTTTTGTGTGTGTGTGTGTGAGAGAGAGAGAGAGGATAACTTTAAGGAATTTGTTTCTCCCTCTCTATGGGAGGTGAGTTGTAGGTTTGGAATGGCAGAGGGAAAAAAACCTGGGATGGGCAGTCTCTTGGTTGGAGCAGGAAGTGAGAGTGTTTTATTATTATTATTATTATTATTATTATTATTGTTATTATTATTTTGGCTTCAAAATACAAAGAAGTTTGACTGTTGGGAGCTGAGGAGTCTTCGAGGCTTAGTAGGCTTTTGTCAGCACTTTCTTTCACAGTAAGGAAACTGAGGCACAGAGCAAGGGTAGCACTGAGGTTGTCAGCAAACGCTGTTTCCTCCTAAGGCATCTCACACTCTGGGCCCTTGTTTTTCACTACCCCTAGATGGGACAGACGTTTCCCTTGACTTTGGAGAAAAAGAAATCAAGATGCAGGACAGTTAAGTTCGTTGCCTAACTTAGTAAACAGCGGAGCTAGAATCCATACACTAAAGCCCTTGCTCTGAACCAGTGTGCCTCCCTGACCTGCTGTCCTTTGTCACGCTGTGTCAGGATTCTGCAAGGAGTCTGAGTGGATCTAGTACGGTCACAAGCTATGGTATCCATCATGTGCCCTCTTAGAAGATGGCAGACACAAGGCCCTCCCTGCTCCACTGCAACTTCTATGGCAGGTCTGTCCAGTATTGTGGGGCTTTCTTAACTCTTTAAATAAATATTTAGCAGAATCTTTTGCCGTTGTGAACCAGTCCTATGTGTGCAGATTGACCTAATACTTATTTCCAGGATGTCTGCTGTGTGCCAGGCACTAGCCTTAAACAGCCAAGCTGTGGACTTTTTTGCCCTTCATGCATTTGCTTAAATGCCAAGGCTGTGCTCGAAAGAAAAGGGAGTTTTGAGGTTGTACTTAGGAAGGCGCCTGTGGGAGGTAGGTTGCAGGTTTAGAGGGGGTGACTGAGCCGGAAATGAGGGATTACTTTTGCTTTAATGCAAAGAAGTTTGATTGGAGGGAGCTGAAGTAGACTGTATGGCTTGATAGGGGTGTGTACAGTGCCCTCTTTTACAGATAAGGAAACTGAGGCACAGAGCAGAAAAGAAATTTAGTGATAGAAAGACCAAGATCTCTCTACCTTTTACTCATCCTGACCACTGCTTGGCCCGGCCTCTGGCTCATCCCACTGGTGAGCACATTTCCCTGGCAATCAAATGAGATTCTCCTCCCTGTTCACCCCGAGGGAGGGAGTTTCCCTGTTTTCCAGGGAGTGTCTGGTTGCCTTGAGGCTGGGTTAGACTGCTGAAATCCCATGGCCTTGGAGGGAAGGCAATCCACCTGGGTGCCAGGGTTTGGGGGTTTTATTTCATTTAATCTTTAGAATAATCTTATACGGTGCTATTATTTTTGTTCCCGAAGACAAATAGGAACAAGCGAGCTGCTGTAACTTTTCCTCAGGGAAAGAGAAGGAGCCTAATTAGGGAACACTTTGAAAACACAATTTTGGATTGGGGAGGTATGGAAGCCAGTGAGGACTTGGGTCAGTTTGGAGGTGGTACCCGGTCATAGAAGAAAAACCTCTGAGGAGTTACGTGTTAAGTAGTCACCCTCTGAGCTTCTGCAAACGGCAAAGTACCCAGCATTCAAAGATCCAACCATGCTTGCTTGTGGGGTGGGGTTTTCTGTTGTTGTCTTTCCACCCTGAGAGATCTGCTTATTTTAGGGTCATTAATGATTTTCTTTGTCTACTTGAAATCCAAGCCTTTTAGAAATCCTATCCTGTGCCACACTAACAAGGAAGACCAGGGCCAGCTGCTGGGCTTGGGCTCAGAACGGCCAGAGAGCATCTGTCAGCAAGACCCCTCTGGAAGCTGGGAAGCCAGAGGAAGAGGAACAAGCACCTTGGTCCTGCTGGGCTTGTATCCCTTTGATCATGGAGGGATGAGTGAGACACACTGCCACTCTTCAGTAGCCTGCTAATCCATCCTTATAATTCAGAGAAGGTGTGGCAGGAGAGACACTAGTCCCGCCCATAAGCCAGGTTAGGGAAGGCTCTTTGAAGCTGTCTGAACATCCGATCTAGCAGGAAGGGTGAGAAGGTACCAAGCCTCTGCCTGTCCTTATGACCAGTGGCTTCCGTTTGACTCCTGACTCCTGTATTCCTGGGTCCTGCATTCCAAACGCACCAGCTATGCAGCTCTTCCTCTTCTCCGTGAGCTGCTTGATTTCCTTGGCACTGGAAGGCTGGTCATTGTCCTCGTGTCACAGAGGAACCGTAAGGTCCCAAGAATGAAGTAACGTTTTTAGACCAAGGCCAAGAGGATTTGGAGAGAGGCTCTAAAGCACAAGATGTGGTAGATACAGCAGCTTTGACCAGACATCTGGGCAAGTGGTGGAAGGCAAAGTTAAACAACTGGGATGCAGTGCCCAAGAAATATAGTAAAGTCTTGGAGTCGCCAATTCATGTCACCAAGAGACCTGGTTATTCAGGTGGCAGTCTGTATTCTAAAGCTCCCTGTCTTTTCCCATGAACATCAGTCACCAGCCACATCCAGCAAATTGTACCAAGTCCAGTGCCTTCTCTGTCCAGGTCCTGTGCTAGCCATCGGCACACAGAGAAGGAGATGCTGTCACTCCCTCGGGAAGTTAGGACTGTGTTAAAGCACTTGCCAGGCAATTATGAAGACCAGAGTTCAGATGAACAGAACCCTGTAAAAGCTGGGTGACTGTGGTGGCCTACCTGTAATTTCAACCAAAGACAGTAGAGACAGGTGATCCCCAGAACAAGATGGTTAGCGAGACTAACATATTGACAAGCTCTGGGTTCACTTGAGAGACCTTGCCTCAATGAATAAGGTGGAAGAGCTGTCAAGAATGCTCCCCAACATCAACCTCCACATGCATGTGCACCCACACACGTGTCAGTATACATGCATATCACACCACATTCCTGAAAAGGGGAGAAAGGCTTACATAATGTTTTTAAATCTTACTGGCTGATAAAATTGTAGAGTCAGGTAATAATGCTCACTCATACCATAACCATCTTGCTGAAGAGCTGGTTCTATTTCTAGCTCCCTTTGTCTCATCCTGTTCCCTTTCCACCTCAGCGGGGCAGTTGTTAGGAGATTCTGACGTCCCCCTGCCCACCCTCAAGACAACCAGGTCTCCCTATGTAGCCCAGGTTGGCCTGGAGTTTACTACATAGTACAAACTGTCCTTGAGCCTGCAATGATCCTCCACATCAGCCTCCTAAGTACTAGGATTATAGGCATGTGCCCCAGCTTGAGCTGCTCTTAGAAGAAGCTAAGTTAAATACAAGAGTCAAAGACAGCCTCTGAAGAAGAGTCCAGGGATCTCCAGGTCTTACACATTGT